ATGTTGAGTGAGTACAGCAAAACTGTTGTACCATATGCTTGATCATTCCATGCAATCATTTCCCCTCTATTGCCTTCCTTTCTAAAACTCTCCTCCCTTCCTAGATGCCCCAACCCTCAAGATGGCACAGTGGAGGTTCTTCAAAATGGTAATGGTACAACAAGCCATTTCTCCTTCGGGATGTTCACCTTCTCAGGAAGCTCTGACCACATCTTCTTGCACTGTCAAGTCCATCTCTGCCTTGTAAATAATGGCAGATGTGCACAGGTATGTTTGGACAGTAAATTTGAGTGGACCCCTCATTGCTTTGCAAGTAACCTTCAAGTAAAGAATGAACTTTTGGTCCCAGTTTATAAAAGGTAGCTTTAACTATGTACTTACATTTCAATTAATTGTTTGGTACAATGCACTTATTGTGTACATACATGTTTTTACATCGTACTTATATATTTTTAAATACCTGCATGTAAATTACATGTGTAATTAATTTCTGTAATTACATTTATAATTTAACTGTTGACCCATCCCTTACACCTTAACCCACTCTTAAACCTACCCATACCACCAAGCCTGTCCCTAACCTTACCCATATCCCACCTCAATAGCAGCAAAGGTGTTTTAATTTCAATTAATTGTTTGGTATAATGCACTTATTGTGTACATACATGTTTTTACATCGTACTTATATTTTTTTAAATACCTGCATGTAAATTACATGTGTAATTAATTTCTGTAATTACATTAATAATTTAACTGTTGACCCATCCCTTACACCTTAACCCACTCTTAAACCTACCCATACCACCAAGCCTGTCCCTAACCTTACCCATATCCCACCTCAATAGCAGCAAAGGTGTTTTACAATACAATGTGAACACAATAAGTACATTGTACTTATTTTGATAGTAGTTAAGGCCACCTAATATAAAGTTTGAAGTTTAAAGTTTTCATAACATGTTATGAAAATATTTGCATATTGTAATGCTTATAAAGATCACGTAACATTAGAACAGCCTTCGGTCTGTGCCCCCTTTATATATTTGCTCGTTTCATCACTTCCACTTTAATTCTTAGGCACCGAATTGTTTGCTAAACTAACATCCAATCAGAGTTCTCACTCTCGCGAGCGGCCCCAACGCTGATTCAACATGTCGAATCGGGCAAACTGCTGCCAACGTGAGCCTGTCGAGAGCCAAAACAACCAAACAAGCCTCTGTTACTAATTTGAAAATGTCACATTAAAACTAGTAACAAATGAATGTCGAGTTGCTTCATTGAAGTTAAAAGCGTACTATTATAAGTAGAATATTATGAGAGAGAGATCAACTGAGCGAGTGTGATTACCTGCATCTGATACAGCAGGGGTCCTAAAGATCCACTTTCCTGCAGAGATTATCTCCAACCTGGATTAAACACACCTACCAGCAACTGTAGTAATCCTGAAGACCTTGATTAGCTTGTTCATGTGTTTGATTAGGATTGGAGCTAAATTCTGCAGGAAAGTGGATCTCGAGGTCTAGAGTTGAGGACCCCTGTGATACAGCATTCGCTCTTCAGATCCATCTCATATTCATATTAAAATAACAGTTTGAATGTCTGCTGAGGAAAGCAATATCTTTGTCGTAGTATTCTTTCAGCTGTTAAGAGATTTTCTATGATAACACTGGTCAATGCATGTGTTGGTTGCATCTTACAAGGTGTTGTTGAAAGTAAAAATAGTGCCCTTGTATACAAACTTGTTTCAGCCCCTTTCAAAATACAAGTCTTTCATTCCGACTCACTCGTAAAGACTGATGGTGGAACAATGTAACCAAAATCACCATCAATAACACATGGACCATGCTGTTTTTGACCAGGTAAAAGGGCTGTTGTTTTACAGGACCATTGAAGAAATTTAGTCGAAGTATGTTACAGACATTTCATGAAGACCCTCAAGAATCATACCAACTAATGGAAAATGAGCATCCGATTTCCCCTTTAACCAGTTACTTTAATCCAGTGGTCTCCAAACTCGGTCCTGGAGGGGCGGTGTCCTGCAGAGTTTATCTCCAACCCTAATTAAACACACATGAACCAGCTAATCAAGCTCTTACTAGGTATGTTAGAAACTTTCAGGTAGGTGTTTTGAGGCAAGCTGGAGCTAAATTCTGCAGGACACCGGCTCTCCAGTACTGAGTTTGGAGACTCCTGCTTTAATCAATCACAATATCACAGACTGCTACCAATAAAAAAAAAAAGTTCATTAACAAAATCTATCTTTGCACTGTAATGATTTATGTGAGAGCTTCAGGTAATTCCTTCTTATCAGTGCTTACTTTTTTATATTGCGAGATCCCAGAAAAAAACGGGTTGTGTCAAATGTGATTTACAGTTTGGGCTTTACAGCATTTGTGTGTGTGTGTAAATAGTGTGCACTGTGTAAATAAAATCGACTTGACTAATTAATAAGCTAATTAAACACCTAAGATTAGTGTTGAAACTGCTAGAATGTTTAGCAATTATACAACCTGCAGGTGGAAACCGCTTCCAGATGTCACCAGATAAACCTAACTGTAGCCATATTCAAGTCCAGTTTGATAACAAATGTTTACCTGTTTTTTCTCTCAAATAAAATGAATATTGCACTACATTATTTGATTTATCTTTAGTTTATATCTTTTTATTTATCATCTTTCATTTACATTGTGGCAATTAGCCGCAAGACAGACATTTAAAGGAGTCATCGGATGCAAAATTCACTTTTACATGTTGTTTGAACTGAAATGTGTCTTGGCAGTGTGTGTACACAACCACCCTATAATGATAAAAATCCACCCAGTGTTTTTTTTAAATATTGATAAATCATGACCCCTTTCTCAAATCAAGCCGTTCTTAGATTCTTGGCTGTGTGATGTCACACAGGCCAAGGCCCCTCCCACAATTGTCAATTGACACTGGTGTTTTACCTTAGACCAGCCCTGAGTGAGCTGTGAACAGTCCGCCATTGCTTTGACGCTGGAGCAGGTGTAGACCAGAATGACTCCTAAGCGATTAAGGTGTTTTGTTGTTGGATGTAATAATGAACATAGCAGTCGTCGTTTACTCCCGACATCTGAGCCGCTGAAGACGCAGTGGATTAGCTTTGTTTTTCAAGGAAACAAATCCTCCGATCTACCTAAATTAGGGATGTTCATTTCGGTTATTTTTCCTAACCGACAACCGACGCTCGTGAACGGATTATTAACCGTTAACCGACAAGATTATTTTGAATTAGAATTGAATTAAATTAGAAAGGATAAGTGTCTGTGAACCATTAAAAATACTAACATTTGTTTCCCGGGGATTAATTTTACATGCGCAAAAAGCAGCAAACAACAGAACATGAGGATTCACAAGGTCATCATGTCACATAACGCACCTGCAGCGCTTCTGCGAGCGGAGAAAAACATCATAAAGCTAAGCTATATATATATATATATATATATATATGCACTGTATAAATAATATATTAATATAATAATAAAAATAAATAGGCCTAAACGAGAAATATATTTTGACTTAATAAATTAAGAAAACGGAAAAAAAACAAAACAAAACTGTGCAACAAGTAGCCTAGTATGCAGAGTTTCAGTTCATTTTTGTGCTGCGTAAAAGGAAACCAGACGGCAGAACGCGGCATCCTATTTTTCTTTAGGCTTATTTTACAAAAGCACAAAGATTTGTTTTTATTGTGAATGTACACAAATAAATGCAAACCTTTTACAATTCTGATTATCTTTGACTAAAAGGAGTAGTTTCTTCCACTGTTAGAAGGAAAAAATTCAAGCGATTGCGCCGGTGCCGCATGCGCGCACAGTTAAGCTTTGCTACTTTGACAAAGCAGCCTGTTCATTATCATAATAATATACAGTCAGTCAAACGTATGGAAAAAAAACACACTGCTCAGTTCAAATATGTAGTCTGTGCCGTTAAGTGTTATCACCGTATCGCCGTGATGTTATGCAAAACATTTTGTTTAACGTGGATATTGGAACGCCAGTGAAGTAGGCTACATAATAAATAATATTTTGGCATTCAAATACATCGCGAATACGTTTTGTGGAGTGAGGGGAACTAAAATAGCCTAGCTATGTTTACAGTGTTTATTATAATGTTTGTAAACATTTCGCATCGGCATTAGGCCTATTTCTGAATGAAATAATAAAATGCGACATACTCGACTTGCGTTTTTTTTCTCTAAAAAACTATTTTTTTTATATATGCGTAGCGTATTTTAACCATGCAGCAAAACTTTTTAAATAGTTTGATAAATTACTGAAAAAAATTAATAAATGACTTTTTAAACCGTTTAACTGATTGTATTAATCGGTCAAAAATTCTTACGGTCGGTTAACGGTTAACCGGTTAAAATGAACATCCCTAACCTAAATCCATCTATGTTCGCACGAACCATTCGTGATCCAGCTTCATCTCCAGTGAGTATATGTTGTTTTAACTGAATTTTGCAAATCACCTTTCCTAATAATGTGCTAGTTAGCAAGTTTCACGATGAATGCGGCAAAAGTTTACAGTCTCTCAGAGAACTGCGTGTCATCCCACAGAAGAGAGGGGCGGGGTGAGCAGAGCTCATTAGCATTTAAAGGGAAATGCACCATAACGATTTGCTGTGAACAGAGCTGTTTTTGACAGGGTAAAAAGGGTGTTGTTTTACACTTACCATTGAGAGATTTTAACCAAAGTATGTTATAGACTTTTAATTAAGACCCTAAAGAATCATATCAAATTGTGGAAAATGGGCATCCGATGACCCCTTTAACTTTGAGTTACATTGAGTTTTCAATATATGTAATGAACCAATGCCACCATACTTGGAAATTTGAGGGCGCCTACTACAACCACTCATATGTACATATGACATGAAAATAAAAATCCTCTCCAAGTCTCTTCTAGTATACAGAGGTGAATAATGCAAATGATCATGAAGGTGGACAATCAGATTTGGCCCACAATCAGCTGCAGTGTTATCGTAACCTTAATTTCACACAGATACGTATTTTCTGGTGCCATTTTAAATTGCTGAGCCATTTAAAACTCTTCCCACACACAGAACACAAATAGGGTCTCACATCTGCATGACATTTCAGGTGTATCTTTAAGTGTGATGGCAAAATAAACGTTTTATTACACTGATCACAATTAAATCGCCTTCCTCCAGAGTGAATGTGCAAGTGATTTTTGAAATTGCTCCTTTTTTTAAACATTTTACCACATTCAGAATACTGCACTTTCTTTCCATAATGAGATTGCAAATGATGTTTCAGGTCTTTTTGATATGTAAAACTCTTTTTACACTGAAGACAAGAGAATGGCTTCTCTTCAGTGTGAGTTATTACATGTTTCTTAAAGTGTTTCCTGTCTGTGAAACTTCTCCCACACTGATGACATATAAAACAGTTCTCTCTTGAGTGAATCCTTGTGTGGTAATTGAGGTTTACTTTACCTCTGAATCTTTTTCCACACTGGCCACAAATGAACGGCCTCTCTCCAGTGTGAATTCTCATGTGAGTCTGTAGATTTCCTTTTTGTGAGAAGGTCTTCCCACACTGTTTGCAGGTGTAAGGACTGTCTCCAGTGTGAATTTTCATGTGGGCGTTTAGGGTTGCTTTACGAGTAAAACACTTTCCACATTGAGGGCATGTGTAAGGCTTCTCTCCAGTGTGAACTGTCATGTGGCTTTTAAGGCTTCCTCTTCTAATGAAACTTTTCCCACACTCTATGCAAGCATAAGGGCTCTCTCCAGTGTGAATTCGCATGTGAATTTTAAGGCTTCCTTTTTGAGTGAAACTTTTTCCACACTGTGGGCAGGTGAAAGGACTCTGTCCAGTGTGAATTCTCATGTGAATTTTAAGGCTTCCTTTTTGAGTGAAACTTTTTCCACACTGTGGGCAGGTGAAAGGACTCTGTCCAGTGTGAATTCTCATGTGAATTTTAAGGCTTCCTTTTTGAGTGAAACTTTTTCCACACTGTGGGCAGGTGAAAGGACTCTCTCCAGTGTGAATTCGCTGGTGGATTTTGAGGCTTCCTTTTCGACTGAAACTTTTTCCACACTGTTGGCAAATGAAAGAACTTCTCGTTCCTGTATTTTTATTTCTTTTAAGTAAGGTCTTTTCAGTCAGTGAGCAACTAGAAGATTTTTCTCCAGTAATAAAATCCTGTTTCTCATACCGATCTTCTTCCATTTTATTTTCCTCTTTAAGCAGCATCACGGCTAAGGTGAAAAGGATAAATAAAAGTTAACCTAAGTTTAATGACACAAAGCAACAGAAATGATAAAATATAGCTCCAAAGAGCAATTAAGGGGCCAAGCACAACAGAGGTAAAGTGAAGAGCTAAGGAGCTGTCTTTAATTACTCTGTAAAGACCAGGGTTCTCCAACCCTGCTCCTGGAGAGCTACCTTCCTGCAGACTTAAGTTCCAACCCTGCTTCAACACACCTGTTATTAATTAAGCAGCCCTGAATATCTTGATTAGCTGGTCCAGGTGTGTTGGATTAGGTTTGAAGCTGAACTCTACAGTATGGTAGCTCTCCATGAGCAGGGTCAGAAACCGCTGTTAAAGACATTTGTTCAAAATTCAAATTCAAAATGGCAGAGGCCAAAAAAGGCTAACATGGGAAAATTAGGTATCCTTCAATTCAGTATGCCGTTCCAAATCTACAAGACAAATCTTATGATATTTGGCCAAACTGGTCAATTTATGAGCAGAAATGTCAAATTTTTATATCTTTTGACCAGTAGGTGGTGCTGTGCCCTCATGCTTTCATGCTTTTTATAACACATACCAAGTTTGGTCAGAATCCGCTAAAGCAGGGCTGGGCAACTTCAGTCCTGGAGGGCCACTATCCTGCAGAGTTCAGCTCCAACCCTAATCAGACACCTGCCTGTAGCTTTCGAGTGATCTTGAAGACACTGATTAGCTTGTTCAGGTGTGTTTGATTAGGCTTGTAGCTAAACTCTGCAGGACAGTGACCCTTCAGTACCGAAGTTGCCCAGCCCTGCGCTAAAAATCATTATGGAGATGTAGCCTCATGTTCATTTTTGCACAAACTTAATCAAATTCATTACCACGCTTTATGAAACCCGGTTTGGTATATCAAAAGGTTTTTGATAACTTTTTGTCAGCATTGTCTGAAGAATAACGGAGCCAATTTTGGTGAAAATCGGACAAACTGTCTAGGGCAAGTTCAAAAAATTTGAGCATAATTCATAATTGAGAACAATCCTGATCCATAGAATTTTACAATTTTGACATGCATTCAACACGGCATGAGCCAAGGAATCAGAGGGAAAAAGAATTTAGCTTCTAGACCTTACAGTTCAAAAGTTACTAGCAGAAATATGAGTGCAAATTTGGCCTATTGGTGGCACTAGAGGATTTGAGATAAAGACTCCGGATTTCATATGGCTAATATTAAGACTGTCCTCTATCTGTGTGCTAAATTTTATACCTTTCCCACAAGCGGTTCTATGGGCTGCCACAGACTTCCAGAGCAGAAGAAGAAGAAAACTAACGGATACAACTGGTGCCTAAAAAAGACATTTAATATATTAAAACCAACATGTTCACTAGATCCTTTACCCAGTAAGCTACCGAAAAAGATGTTAACTGTGATCTCAGTACCTTTAGTCAATATTTTGCTTTCTTTAGGACATGTCCAAAAAACTTTAAAGCTGACTGAAAAAAAAAAACAGCCTGACTGAGGAAAACTGGTTAATCACTCAACAATTGATTATAATATATTAGAAAAAGCGTGCCCTCAGTTTTCAGGTGGTTTTTTATTTTTTCAGTTTTGTGTTTAGTGTGCAGAAGAACATTAAGGTTAGGGAATATCTGCCAAGACTTATACCATGTCTACACCAGACGTGAGTGGCGCGACAAAATACTATAGAAACCATTATAATCAGTGATGCTTTCGGTAACACTTTAGTATAGGGACCAATTCTCCCTATTAACTAGTTGTTTATTAGCATGCCTATTATTAACATATTGGCTGTTTATTAGTACTCATATAGCACATATTCTGCATGACCATATTCTACCCAATACCTAAACTTAATAACCTTATAACCTAATAACCTATTAATAAGCAGGAAATTAGTAATTTATTATTACTTTACTTACATAGTTAAGAGTTTGTTAATAGTGAGAGTTGAACCTTAAAATAAAGTGACCATGTCGGTGCCAATAGCCTCGTGGTTAGTGCGCCGACATAAAGTGCAACTGCGCTCACGGTGACCCGAGTTCGATTCCTGTCTCGAGGTCCTTTGCCGATCCCACCCCCCTCTCTCGCCACCCAATGCTTTCCTGTCAGCTCTCTACTGTTCTGTCCCAATAAAGTCAGAAAACGCCCATAAATATAACTTAAAAATATATATAATAATAATAATAATAAAGTGACCATGCCGTCTAAACTGGATGTGGCGCGACACGACACAACAAATCCCAGACAGTAAACTGTTGCCCCTTTCTATTTATGACGTATAAGGTTGGGTATCGTTTGAAGTTTATCGATTTCGATTCTGCTTATCGATTCCGATTCTTATAGATTCCAATAAGATAAAAAAATCCAATATAAAATATAGCTGCAAGCAGTGATTACAGCAGTTCAAGTGCTTTAGGGATTTAAGCACATAAGGAAAAAGATATTACATATTATTTAGCAAGCCTGTAACCACCTAAATCAATTATTAAAAAAGCATTTTTGGCAAATCCAGGGGCCCGTTTCAGAAAGGAGGTTAAGTGAAAACTCTGAGTATGTTAACCCTGAAATGAGGGAAACTCTGGGTTTTCCGTTTCAGAATGGGAGGTTTGTCAAACCCGAGAAAGCAGGGTAAGTCAAGCCCATTTCTGAAAGGGAGGTAACTTACTCTATGAACCTAACCTGGTCGGGAGCAGGTTTTCTTCGGTAAACCCAGAGTTTCTTACGGTCTCCTCCCCCCTTTTAAAGCGTAAGCGATGTTTAAATACCTCATTCATTCATTCACGCTGCAAAAATGCTTTTCTTACTGAGTAACGGTCTTATTTCAAGTACAAATATCTAAAAATTCTTAAATCATGATGCATTTTCTATATAAGAAAAATGATATAGCTTAAGTTTATTCTTGTTTCCTGGGGGGAAACAAGTGCATTTAAGTGTATTTTACTTAAAACAAGTAAAATTATCCACCATGGGCTAAGAAAAATCATCTTAATGCAAACGTAAACAAGATTATTTTTTGTTTCCCCCACCTCCCCCCTTCAAACACCAGGCACCGTCAAAGTGACAAAAATGGCATGTCATTTTATACTGTAGATAGCTTTATTAATTCGTAGGGAGTTACATTTTTTTGTGCCATATCCACATGCATATTTATTTGGTAGTTTTCTATATCGGGGATGCAGAGCACATTAGTAAGGCCGCTGTATGCAGAGCCGTAACGAAGGTGTGCCTCGCTGACGTTCACTTGATAACATCTTGCGGCTACCTATGGAAGTAACCCAATAATTAGAATTTCCTTTAGAACTTCCAGTGTGGTTGGATGCATTGATGACACGCATATTTTTACTGTTGGATTTGAGTATTCTTCCAATACTTGGTATTATGGCCATCTCCTCCTCATCTGTTCTTCATTATTTTGCGAGCCTTCATGCTGTTGACTTAGTAGCAGTCAAATGTTAATTTCATTACTCTAATTAAGAAATTTAACAGGTTGGATTAGAGAATCTTTAACTATGTGAAAAGATTAGACTACGTGAAAAGATTAGAGTATGTGGGAAAAAAAGCTGCTGCACATTGAAATAGACACTGAATGAACTTTATTTCAGATATCAAATGTTTGTAAAGTCATGTAGCCTACACCCATGAACATTTTATGCTTAAAGCTTTACCTGATTGAAATGTTTTTATACTTAATTTTTAGCTGCTGTCACGTTCTTCTTTTCTTTTCTTTTTTTTGCCCATGGGATACCATGAAAATTAATATTAGTTCAATAACCTACCGTTCTGCCAGTTTTCACCTCTGTTATTATAACAGTGATTAAGAATTAAACTTATGCGTTGACTCAAAGTGTGCGGACATCTTTTTGTCTGTGCTGTTGCCATGGTGAATCATAATTTCGGAGTTCCATTGATCATGACTTCTCATAGTCGTGGTGCACGCGCTAAACTCAGAGTCAACCTACTCAGAGTTGACTGAACTAACACAATTCAGCTGTTCTGAAACCGAAAACTCTGAGGGTAAGTCAACTCAGAGTTGGTTGAACCACCTTATTGAAACGGGCCCCAGGTGATTTACCATAACGATGTTTTTATAACGTTTATGACTGTTATAGCGCCAGCTGTATCTCCCTGAAACTTTGCATGCTTGTTTAGAATCACATGCGAATGTGCTCAGTGGGTTTCGTGAAGTTTTGAGTTTTCGTTTAGATTTTATAGGCTTTTGGGTATATTTGGACAGGCCCCTTTTCTAAAGGCCAGTTTTAGCTAAATTTCAACATGTTTTTGATAATTACTGACCTAGAGAGTCCAGAGAATTGCACTACGGTGTTTTTTTCCAGATTGAGCGAAAAACCTAGGACTAGTTTGCAAAAGTAGGTTTTTCACATCTTCTCAATCATTTAAAAAACGGTTTGATTGACAGTAGTTCTAGAGGCAAAGTTGTTTGGAACGATGAGGGCTATCATATGATATGAATATTGCGTATATGTGCGGAAAATCGCGCAATGTACAATCGTTTACGCCCTCAAAATATGCGATACCACCCCCCAGTGGCCGATTTCTTTCAAATTTCTCACAGACCTTTGGGGCCGTGAGTCAAACAGGCCCACCGAGTTTCGTTCCGATCAGCCTCCGTTAACCTTGTCTAATAGGTGCTCAAACTTCATCAGCCAGTGGTGGCCATGTTTTTTTGAGATACGCAAATATCCCCATAGACACTTGTGGCACTTTGGACCAAGACGATTTGGACGATTTTCATGTTGATAGGACAAATGGTTGCCTAGTTATAGCCATTTTTATGTTTTTTCCCTCTTATAGTGCCACCAAGTGGCCAATCTCCGCAATTTTTTTCCTGTGACCTCAGCTTGAGCTCTTACATAAGTGTTCAGAGTTTGGCGAAGATATCTCATTCCGTTCAGGAGTTATAGGCATTTTACTAAAAGTGGCCCTGCCCCCTTTGAACGTTTTGGCGTCCCTTTGCCACGGGGAGTCGAAAGTTCAACTTTTTTTTG